GATTCATTGTTTATGCATAACATCCAATGCTCCATGCAGAACGTGCCCTCTTTAATACCCATCACCAGGCTAACCCATCCTCCCACCCCCTCCCCTCTAGAACCCTCAGTTTGTTTTTCAGAGTCCATCGTCTCTCACAGTAACCTTAGAATTTTAACAGAAATTTTCCATTGATAATGTAGTTACAACAGAGTTATAAGACCAGCAAAGAAAACACCCAGTACCTGAAAGTACTGTCAAACCCGTTTCAAGATTTTAATTTGATTTGGAAAATGATTATACCGCCAGTTTGGAAAATCATCATTCTGTTTCTCACCTTTTTCCAACTACTGTTTGGTATTATGAACTGTTCCATTGTGAAACCATAATGCAATACACCTCAGTATAGTCACATTTTTCAACATAGTATATAAACTATATAAATAGATAAACACTGTATCAAATATGCCAAATGAACACAATCCAGTGTTTTGTTTTGTTTTTTTAAAGATTTTATTTATTTATTTGACAGAGAGATAGAGAGAGCACAATCAGGGGAAGCGGCAGGCAGAGGGAGAAGCAGGCTCCCCGCTGAGCAGGGAGCCCGATGCGGGGCTCGATCCCAGGATCCTGGGATCAGGACCTGAGGGGAAGGCAGACCGACTGAGCCACCCAGGCGCCCCAACAATCCAGTGTTCTTATACCAACCAGCAATAAGATAAAGCTGAAGAATGAAAGAGGGGGGGAAGCATCAATTTTCTAGTGAAAAGATAAACATGTTCTTTGAAAATGTCAAGGCCTAAAGTATCTTTCCTTTGTAGAATTCAACTGCTGTTACAGTTTTAGAAACTTTTTTTTAAAAGGAAAATGCTTAAGAGTGAAATAAAATTTGAAAGCCCAAGTTTTCTAATAACCTTAACATAAATTATCAAAGATCTTTGTTTTTATTATACACTAAAATAAAATCCTACATTTGTCATACCTTCTTCGCATTACTCTCCAAGTTTCAAAAATGAAATTTTTAGAATTTTTTTTTTGTTTTACTCTGAAAACAGGAAACTTGCCTAATTCAAGAGAGATTTAGAATATGTACCATCAAGCCTTTATATATACCCTTACATGCACCGCCCCGATCCTCATGACCACTCCACCAGGTAGAAATCAGTATCCCCATGTGACAGGCAAGAAAACAAAGGATCAGAAAGGTAAAGCACCACCACACCAGTATGGTAAATATGCACCCACACAAGATCCCAACCAGGTCTTTCCAGTCCTGGTCACTACCTCCTCAACAAGCTTAACACGAAAAATGACCTTTTAGAAGCTATCTGGTTCACCTTCTTCACTCTGGAAATAAGACTTCATAAAGCAAGACGCATTAAGTGACTGTCCTATGGATACGTGCTGGTTGGAATGCAAAGCTGAGGCTAAATAAACTAGGGTTGCAGACGAGCCTGCCTCCAGAGGAGACAACACTGCTCCCTTCTGCACCCTAGAGCTCCCTCCCCAAACTCCAGAAGCTACGCTTGCCTCTCCTCCCACACATGGCAGAGAAGCTGTTGCTAGAGCCCGCTTCCACCCATGCCTGCTTGTCTCAGCTTCCGACCTTGGGAGGCCTTGGTTTTTGAGCTGAGGAGGCTACAAAGAGCAGCAGAGCAGCTGAGCCTCAGCGAAGGCCCACAACTAGCCTGCCCACACCCAGCCTCTGCACAGCGCGGGGCACGGGCAGGTGCCTGCAAGAGTTGGCAGGTGGAATTGTGAGACAAAAGCAAGAGATTCTAAGGAGAAATAATTCTCCACATCACTCTTTATTTCTTTTCTCTTAACATATATTTTCATGTGTTTCATACTCCTTTTGAAAAACTTTTCAGTAGGTTACACTAACATGATGTTTGGGGGGAAGGCCTCCTATGCAAATTATAAGCAAATACAGTCTCTTGTTAGCTTTTTCCCCCCCAAATCATTTTTTATGTATTTCGAAGTCACTCTTACTGTCCCATTCTCAGTGTCTCATGTGCACATTTCAAACAGTGCTGACTGGAGCTTATCAGAGGGCACTTGGGAAGTTTCCAATACACTGTTTGTCTTGGCAAGTGGCCAAAGTTAAAATGAATCTTTCTGAGGAAAAATTTTAAAAAGCAAATGACTGTTAGCTGCCATACATTTCTATCATAAAATTATAATTTTTTCTTCTAGTAATAGTCTACTTGAAGTTCTACTTAATACATGTGGAAACAACTCCTAACCTTCTTGCATAATTGAAGGTACCTGACAATTCACTTGCAAGATTATGCTTTTAATCTACTGAAGTGGCAAAATTACCCAAGCGTATAATCAATAATGGGCATTAAAACAGCTTATCATTATTAAAATTAGGTAGCATTACTTTCCTACAGAGATAAAAAGCAGCTCTCAGTTGCTCTGGTGATAATTCTCAGAGTGCCGTGAGGAATAAACGTAGCAATACCTACCCAGGCCTAATGTGAGCTAGGCATGACCCTCAACGCCTGCTTAGTTCCTTTGCTCAAATAGAAAGGAAGAGAACTGGATAAATTTCAGGTAATATAATGTGAAGGGGGCTGGTTTCAGATGATTCAACAACTAGTATCTCGAAGAAATACAGGGACAAAAATATACAATGAGGTGATATTACAGATCATTCCATTCCACACTGGTTCCTAAAAACTAATGAAGCCTATGGTAAGGGGGAAAAAAAAAACTAGGAAAACATAAATTTCTTTCCTTGTTTTAACAAAATACTTCATTTCCCTAGATTTTGCTGAAATTCAGACAGTATTAATCTATATCCTGCATTGAGAATAGTCATTTCTTCACCCAAAATATTCAAAGCTGAAATAGAAAGTTAGGTAAGAAAATAAAGAAAAACGAGTACTGAACTTTGTAAAAATTGAACCCTACCTTGTATTTCGAAGACAACATCAGCAAGCATTGGTTTATTAAGGAAAAACTTGAGGGAAGTGTTATAAAACCACAGAGGTTTTCTGGCTTGATAAGTTTTGCAATTCCTTAGACAATTAATCTATAAGGGAAAACAAAAATACAAGTGGAAATGTTGTACAACATGCTCTGTTAATAAATATATAAGTTGATTAGAGAATTTGGAAAACGGTACTAAATGTCTGAAGAAATGACAATTTCCTCCTCCATGGCACCTGCGCTCCTAGCTGCCCAGGGAACTTGCCCTCAAGAATGACATGCACTCCAGAAGAGGGAGCAGCAGGGCTCTCTGTAACATTCTCAGCAGTGAGCGAACTGGCTAAGGGAAAACACAGCTCTCTGGCTGAGAAACGTGGGGTCCTGAATCCACCCACATCCCCTTTAGCTGGGAAACAGACAATGCTCAACCTCATATGAATGCCTGGTAAAATATGTTCACATAAAGAACCTGTTTGCTTGTTCCCTAACTAAAAAGGTACACACACAAAAATTTAATTTGTCATTTTAAAAAACACACATTTTCCCCCATCATATCATGTCCTACTACTTACTAGATCAACATTAAAATACCTGAAAGTAATGAACTGATTCATCTCTGTCTTAATGTACAGTCTTATAATCCTACCTACAGCTGGGGTTCCTGGAATCTATCAAAGCTTGCCTGGATCTCCGCTCCGGAGTTCCAGAGCACCAATTCCATGACTACCGTGACTTCCATGACTACTATCACTCCGTAATAGTGCCGCTGTCTGATGCAGCAGTCTCCAGCCCCCCACTACACCCCACTTACGCTTTGGTGCTTTGTTTATCCTTCCTGTTATCTTCAGACATTCCTTTGTTCCAACCTCAGAATTCAAGAGCCAGCCCCTCTTCCCTCCCCCTCCCACCATTTCCCTAGCTGAATCTCAGGACCTCTGCCTGGGTCAGAACTCAGGCCTCTGCTTGGCTCTCCAGGGAATATGGAAAGCTTCATCCCTAAGAAATAATCAAGCACACAACTGCAGCAGTAAGAATAAATGGCACCTACTCTCCACTCTGGATTAATCCACTATGGTGGGAAATTAAAATCTTTGGTAAGAGGAAAACAAAATATTATCCTTCCTCAAAAGGAGGAAGAAAACACACTCCAGAATGATTTCCATGAGCAAGGCAGAGAAACAAAACAGGATCATACAAATCCTGCTCCTATAAAGCATGTTCTCAGATCCTGTACACAACCTACCTTAATACACAGCAAAGGAACTGGTGGAGAGGATTCAGGTGAATGCCACACACAAAGCAGAGCAAGTCAAAAAGCAGCACAGAATTTGAGAATCAGCAAGGGCTTTAGAAATCATCATCTATTCCTCTTCTTACAGAAAGTCCTGAGAAGACTTGCTCAAAGCCAGAAATAATTCATGCCAACTCACAATTTGAATGTACATTTCCTGATTTCTAACTCAGGGTTATAGCTCTGTGTTGTACTCAGTGAATGAGAGAGACCTTTGCCCCAGGAAAGCACAGGAAGAAAGCACAGAACTCATCTCTCCTCCTGTACAAAGGAGGGAATTTAGTTCAATATCACGGAATTGTATAGCCCCCAGCTCCTCCCCAATAAGAATTCATTTTTTCTCAGTACTCAAAGGAATGACTGTTTAAAATCACACTCAAGGAAAGGCTCAGGTTTAGAATGAGAGGCAACACTTCTGTCTTCACCATTCATATAAAGGTTATGAATTTGTATGTCATGAATACTACGTAGATGTATATCATGTATGAATAGATAGATCGCTCAATCATGAATCTGTCTCAACAGATCCCTTTGTCACCCATGGCTTGAATTTGAAGGTAAAAAAGATAGGAAGATAGTAGTTTGGACAGAACACTGATATACATGGTGCACACTTCCACCAGTCTATAAACAAGTAATATAGAGAGCTTTCGGAAAACAGAATGCAGGTTTATGTGCACAATTTTCTACAAAAGCATTATTTAGTTGAATTAGATTGCAAGAGAGCTAGCGCTCTGCCATCCCCTGGAAAACTGCACAGCTTCTGCATACCTGCTTCTGTGTGTGACAGAAATAAGAAAAGGCTTGCTCTTAATTCCATGTTACTTTGTTCACGTTTTTTTCTTTTCCTCAAATCTTCATTAAAAGCTTGTACAGTTTTAAAATATTAACTTAAAATGCCATTAACTTAGGTTGTAGAATTGACAAAGTCATCTGTATTAAAAAAACTTAAGGAATGATCATTTCTCTTACATTTAACATAAGTCTATATTCTGCTGAGCACTGCACATAGCTTACCTTTTTATCTACTGTAGCCAATTTGTTTAGCACATAATCTGAAATAAGAATACACTGGCTCAAGGGTATAATGTAGTTGTCTCTAAAATGAACAAATTTATTTTTAAAGCCCTTACAGACTGGACAGCCTAAGGGACTGGAGTTTGAACATGCACACATTTAGGACTGTATACAAAGTCTGTATTTTATAACCGTTGACCTGGTTTATAATTTTAAACCTATACAAGATGAGAAACAAATCCTTAACTGTCTAGCTGATCAAACATATTTCTCAGAACTCTTGAAAAACGCACACAGAGAAACTGCCTTGCTCCTGAAAACTACTTGGACTTAAATTCGGAGAAGTGAGAAAGCATCCCCTTTAACAAGCTTAACTGGAACTGGATAGATTCAACAGCCCTTCATTCTTGACATAGACTGCATATTCCTGGAGCTCTAGGGGAATGTTTCAGAGGATGGAATTCACAAACCAACATTTTAAAGACATGACTCACACATATTTTAATTCTTACATGAATTAAAATCTGAGATAGTAAGAAGTACATGTTTGCATTTAAAATATTCAAATGGCAAAAATAGACTCAAGAAAAACATATTTCTACACTGTTGACTCTTCCCATGACTCAATATTATTCATTTATCATCGTATATATGTTAAAATTCAGAGAATATCAAGGTAAACTGATTTTCAATAAAGTAATTTACCTTTCCTGGTGTTTTTAAAATGCATTTAACTTTCTCAATTACACTTGAAACATCCCCAGAATCTTTCACTTTCTTCCTGATGTCTTCTTCCAATTCTTCCCACTGAAAAGCACCTGTAAACAAATTAATATATATTAGATTTTTATGTTAAAACAGGAAGTACAAAAGTAAATCTCTCATTAGATAGCACTGCTCCTTCTTTTAGTATTTTCTTTCTTTACCAAATATATATCCTCGTAATTACACTAAAACATTTAAACAGTTCTCACATTTTTAAAAAAAGGTTGCCTTCCCCTAATGTGTTTCTCAAAACCTGAAGTCTGCCTTCCTAGACAGCTGTCACCTCTTTATAATAGATGGTCACCTAAAAATGACAGCAACAGCCAGAATATTAGTTGCCATCACAAGTAGTCCTTCCTACACTCAATTATTTATTTGCCTGGGTTAAGAAGGCAGATGTGTTTTTTTTCCAAATTACCTTAAATCATACTAATCCTGGAGGGCAGTGACTACCATCAGGTAGAAGAATGAGCAGTAGGAACAGAATGCATTCAGAAAGTCTCACGCATGGTCAGGGTCAGAGAAGGATATTCAACAGCCATCTCTACAGACCCAACCCGAAGAAGGGACGTAGATACTGTCCTGAGGAGCTATCTGACCGCTGCACTGGAGCGAGATCACTGCACCTGGTACCTCCCTCCCCTGGTCCTCACCCCACCCAACTTCCAAGCTATCTCTTCCCAGGCTCATTTCACGTCTGTCTACACTGACAGCCCCTTTCCCCGTGTCTTTTTTTTTTTTTTTAAGATTTAACTTATTTATTTGACAGAGAGAGAGAGAGACACAGCGAGATAAGAAACACAAGCAGGGGGAGTGGGGGAGGGAGAAGCAGGCCTCCCGCGGAGCAGGGAGCCCGATGTGGGGCTTGATCCCAGGACCCTGGGATCATGACCTGAGCCGAAGGCAGACGCTTAACAACTGGGCCACCCAGGCGTCCCACCTTTCCTCTGTGTCTTACAAAACTGTTTGATGGTCAGCAAAAGTTCTCCTTTCTCCAAGCACTTCTCTCGCTTGGCTTACCACAGCCTCCCATAGAGCCTACCTGCTCCTCAGTGGCCCTCTCCTCATTGAATCAATCCCGATACTCAATGCTGATACATTTCCAAAAGTACAATTCTGATGATGATATTTGAAGAGATGACCCCTATCTATCCCATGGCTTACAGAAAGTCCTAACGCCTAAAAATATAATTAACCAAGGTGTAGTGTGGGCAGGCATAACTGGGAGACCCAGGCTCCAGTTCTACCTCTGCCATTAATTACTGGTGTGACTTGAAGCAAGTCCTCTCACCTCTGCGTAACTCAAAATCCTTTTCGATTTTTCTTTTTCTTCTGATATTCCCCTTTCGGTATCCAGAACTTTGCCAGATGCCTTCATGGACATCAGGGATGGGGAGAGCACATAATAAACATGACTGAACCAATGAGATCAGGCAATTGCAGCCAGGCTGAGCCAACCAGATCCAAAGCTACTCTGGAGAGTCAAGTGATAGCCCAGCGGCTCTCAGGCGTCATTACAGCTGAGCCCTGTAGCACTGGGCGCTCTAGAGTATCTTTAAACTTCCCCTCACCTAACCTTCATCATTGCTACAGTGTATCCTGAGGAGAGGGGGCAGGGGAGGGAGAGCCCTGATCTGGGCCATTTGCTCCCTCTGTGGTGCAAATACTCGCACCATGGCCACCTTCAAGCCACCGACACGACATGACATCACAGAGCACAGAGCTGGGAAGAGAGAAACCCAATAGGCTCTCACAAGCTGGTGCCAGCCAGCTCCAGCAACACCACTGTTTCTTCCTACCCTTGATGCTCTTTTCCTGACTTCACTGTCGGCTCCCCTCCCTTCTCAAATTCCCAAAGGTTTGCGGTCAAGAAACATCCGGGTTTGTTGTTTTCATTTTTTGGCACTAAGGATTTCTAACTTTAAAGGCACATACTCTTTTCACTATCTGATAAATTCTTTGCATTGTCTCTCCAGAAAATTTCCCATACACACACAGACATTACGGTCTACATTAAAATGTCATAAGTAAAAGAACCACTGAGAAACCAACAGAACCCAGATCAAAAGAATTTTTGCCAGTGATTCCCAACTATAGCTGTGCATTACATTTACCTGTAGATCTTTCATAAAATACCATCAAGGAGGTATCAGTCCCAGACCAATTAAATTAGGATTTCTGGGGCTGGAGCCCAGACATCATTTTAAAAGCCTTCCAGGGGATTTTAAGGTGCACTGAGTGCTGATCATCACTGCTCTTCCTGCAGACATTTCACCCATGATCCAAACCCAGGATCAGTGGTATGCAGCCAACAGGTATTTTTTCATTGTCTACACTCACACATGTTAAAGGAGAACAGATATTAGCTCTTAAAAATAAATTGTATTAATTAACGAATACCTAAACAATATCTCCATTCAGAATATTATCTGAGAGAAAGCAAGAATTAAGTTGAAATACATGGGATTAACAGCAGGTAAATGCCTACAGGCCACTCATTTGTCTCAGAATAGACACAAAAGGATCCAATAACTAAAGATGAAAGACCAGTTCACAGAGCACTCTAAGGATTGGGCTGTTCTTATAATTAGAAATGCTAACCAAGTCATCTTTGACAGGTTTTGTTCCAAATAAAATAATAATCCTTATGCTGGGATTTTCTTTTCCTTTTTTTAATTGTGGTAAAAACATTTAGCATGTGGGGTGCCTGGGTGGCTCAGTCAACTAAGTGTCCAACTCTTGCTTTCGGCTAAGGTCATGATCTCGGGGACTTGGGATCGAGCCCCTGTCAGGCTCTGCGCTCAGCAGGGAGTCTGCTTGAGGATTCTCTCTCTCTCTCCCTCTAAAATAAATCTTAAAAAAAAAAAAAAAAGAACATCTAACACGTGATCTATCTTTTTGACAGAATTTTAGGTGTACGTTACAGTGTTGTTAACAATAGCCATGATATTGTACAGCAGATCTCTAGAACTTACTCATCTTGCATAACTGACTGGGATTTTCTATTTAGTTAACTTCTCAGAGCGCTGATTGAATTGACTGAGGTTCTTAGGGAGCATGTTATACTCATGCATACAAGCTGAACTTTTAGGTAGTGCAGAAAAGAGCATACCACAGAATAATCCAAGAGCTGGAAGATACCAGGCAAGCTGAAGATGAAAGCTCCTTTCCACATGTTCATTTACTCTGGAGGCATTTCAATAAGGGATGTGAAATTCTAAGGGCCATCTGTGGTATGAAAAGCTCAAAGCAAAATTTTTGAGGCTCTGACATACATTTCAATTCCTAACCATCTGAAATTGTGTGCATCAGGAATTTGCAAGCATAAAGACTATCAAGTATTGTAAGAATGTCACAACTATATGCCAATAAAGGATGACTCAATGAAGACCCACAAACTGCTGGCCTCGCTTCTTCTCTTTGAGTAATAGTCTTTCAGTACTTATACAGTATACAGTGTTAGCTATTACCCAGTAGAAAATTAACATACACAAAACACATACTTTTACTGTGTCTATTTATTTAGGAATTTTCATAGCAGAATACACTGAAACCTTATGTTAACCAGACCATTAAACAGACTCTTCCTAAATATAGGACCCAAACATCCCTGGTGACACATATATACAAAATTTCAAATTCCTAAAGATTAAAAAGAAGCATGTTATTTAGAGGAAATTAAGATATTCTTTGTAATTTGGTTTAAAAAAAAAAAAAGCAGGAGATAGACTGAAGTTGGTTTTTCAGTCCGTGTTTACTCAGAGCAAATATTCCTGAGCATGCTGTGTCGTGGAGTTCTATCTCTGTGTTACTGACCCAACAGACACGAGTACAAACAGCTCCTGTCTTCACTGCCCCCCTAACATAACCTGTGGGTAAGCCAGGGCTTCTGTGAAGAAACCACTGCGTAACTGAGTCGTAAAACCTATGCTCAGTTCAAAAGTTTTAAAATGCTCAACAACAGCAGGAAGAAAAAAAGCAAAACAAAAATCCCTTAAGACTGTCGTCTTTATTGAAGTCTCTAAAAATATATATGTATACATATATATTTAAAACTTTAATTTGATGAAAAATATTTTCTTTTTTTATTTATTGAGAGAGAGAGAGCATGAGCAAGGGTGAGAGGTAGAGAGAGAGGAAGAAGCAGACTCCCTGCTGAGCAGGGAGCCCAACATGGGGCTCCATCCCAGGACCCCAGACCATGACCTGAACCAAACGCAGATGCTTAACCGAGTGAGACATCCAGACACCCGTGATAAAAAACTATTTTCTAAATAAATGGTAATCTATGCACAAAGACTAGAGGATAAAACAAAACATCAATAAGTGTTTCGACATTTGAGAGAAGGAATTGGATTGATTTTTCTTCTCTTAACAAATTTTCTCCATTTTTTCACAATTGTCTTTACCGTACAAGTACAGCTTTAATATCTTTTTAAACATAATTTGAACACAACGTGGGGCGCCTGGGTAGCTCAGTCATTAAGCATCTGCCTCCGGCTCAGGTCATGATCCCAGGGTCCTGGGACTGAGCCCTGCATTGGTCTCCCTGTTCCATGGGAAGCCTGCTTCTCCCTCTCCCACTCCCCCTGCTTGTGTTCCCTCTCTCCTTGTGTCTGTCTATCAAATAAATAAATAGAAACCTTAAAAAAAAAAAGAATAACTAAACACAATGTAACTTTTGTTTGAGTCTGAGGTTATACTCTATAGATACAGAATAAGTAATAGGTACCTGCTAAAGCATTTATTTTTCCTTTTCCTCAAAGCATCGGGATCTCCCTGCAGCCCCAGGTCAATGGCCTGTGGCCCAGCTCTTACCTGACACCACCTCTTCTCTGGGTCTTGACATACAAGGAGAGAATGAACAGAGCAGAAATGCAACAGCTCAGTGTCAGGTTAGGAAGTCTGTGCTCTGAACTGGTCAAGGGCTTGTAGCAAGCTCTCCATGCTATGGTGTTCCTCTGCCTCTAACTGCTCTTCCTGGGCTCACTTAGTTTCCACCCGGCCACAAAGCAGCCACGTGCCCCACCCTCGGGCAGCGGCTACCACAGGGCAGCGACAGCTCCAGCTCCAGCTCCAAAGAGCTCACATCAGTCAGACTTGCAGCTGACCCCATTTTGACTCTGTGCCCTGAGACTGATAGGCCAGGGCCCTCCCCTGGGCCTCTGGACTGAATGCCAGGCTCTTATCGCCCCCGTCTGTGGCCGGTACGTGGTTCTTCCCAGAGCAGGTGATGCGTGTAGTCTAGAGCACCAGTATTACCTGGGAGACTGCATGAAATGCAGAATCTCATGCCTCACCGCCCCCCCCCACCGGGGGCCTACTGAATCAGAATCTGCACATGAGGGGCACCTGGGTGGCTCAGTCAGTTAAGCGTCTGCCTTCGGCTCAGGTCATGACCCTAGGGGCCTGGGATGGAGCCTGGCATTGGGTTCCCTGCTCAGCGGGGAGCCTGCTTCTCCCCCTGCCCCTCCCCCTGCTCATGCTCCTTCTCCCTCCCTCTCTCTCAAATAAATAAATAAAATTAAAAAAAAGAAAATCTGCACATGAACAAGATCCCCAGTTGACTCGCATGCACATTAAGTTTGAAAAGCCCTGGTCCAAATGATGGACAAGCTGTAGCACCAACCACCTGTTGTCAGAATAATGGCCTTCCTGAGGTTGATCTCCAGAGTAATGGAGCTTCCTTATTAAACTCCTATTTTGCCTGCTCTATTCCATCCCCCTACTATCACCAGAGATAAGCATGCCAAAGCCCAGTCTGATCATACTTAACATTCCAGAACAGCTTCGATGAACAGCTTCCATCTGGCCTGTCAGCCTCATCTCCTGCAACCTTCACCTCCCACTCTGTGCTCCAGCTGGAGGAAAACAGCGCTTACTATAGATACATTTTCCTTAATGTATGTTTCCCAATAAATTAACTTCTTTCAAATAGCATTAGAGTTAACACATAAGGGGACTGAGGAAAACTTTTTTTCTTTCCCCTTTGCTTTTATCTGCATGTATTAATTTTGCAATTTAAAAAAATCATTCCCTACAAGAAAGACAAGTAGGTTCTGTCACTGGAGACACAACTAGCTCTTTTATTGCTACCTTATTAAAGAGGATGTAACTGACTTCAAAGCGCTCATGTGCCTTCGAAAGTATTCAATAGATATTGTAGTAAACTTGCTGAACAACTCAATTTCAACAGTAACATCTCTGAAAAGAAAAGCCAAACACTTCCTTCACAATTCTCTAAACATCACTAAAGACTTTTTTCCATTTAACATGTAAACATTTTTGTTTTTCAGAATTAGCCTTAAATTCTAAACTGTGAGACTCAAAGTTTAAACATGAAAATCTATTAGTAAATGAAGTGTTTAACTAGTCTGCTTTATTCATATGATGATTCACAGCTACTAGAGTCTACTCATTAATTCAACTGACATAAAACCTGCCATGTTGAAGGCGCTGTGTTGGTGTGCTCTGTAGGAGTGGTTATTTATGCCTTTTCCAAGCCAATATTCACTGAATAATGGGTTTAAGACCCACCACTACCATTCTACTCCTATGTAGGTATATGTATGTACATATATAGAGATTTTTTGAAGTTTTTTTAAAAGTAATTTCTACGCCCAAAGTGGGGCTTGAATTCATGACCCTGAGATCAAGAGGCACATGCTCTACTGACTGAGCCAGCCAGGTGCCCCCATATATAGACATTTTAATCCACTTAAATCTTCATACTGCAACTGCACTTTTCAAAACCATTAATTTTTATTTTAACTTATAGTAAAATTATATAACCACAGCCCAAATGAAAAAAGTAAAATCTTATATTAACATCAATTATTTCAACTGAAGAGTATCCAAAAGTTTCTTACAAATATGAAACAGCACTTTATTTGCAAACCTTTATAAACTTATCTGTCCCCCATTTTGAAGTCTAAAAACAGCCACATTCCAGAGGAGTGACCTTAACTTAATATTTCATCAGAACATGATTCCAGGTGAAAAATTAAAGAAGAGAGAAGTTCTCAGAAAATTTTTACTTAGATGCTTACTTTAAAAATCATTTTACATCAATTCTTTTCCATTCTTATATGGGACACTTAGATTTGACACCCTCAATGCATTAGCTAAAAGGACTCAGATAAAACTTCTATTTTTTAAAATATAGTAGCTACAATCACTTAAAAGGACAAGAAGAAAAATAATTGATAAGCTCTATCTTTTTTAAAAAAGACTTTATTTGAGAGAGTGAGCGAGAGAGAGAGAGCACGCAAGCAGGGGCAGAGGGAGAGGGAGAAGCAGGCTTCTCGCTGAGCAAGGAGCCCGATGCGGGGTTCGATCACAGAACTCTGGGATCATGACCTGAGCCGAAGGCAGATGCTTAACCAACTGAATCACCCAGGCACCCGATAAGCTCTATCTTAAAAAGATAAGTGCACGGTAAGAAAAAAAAGTAAAATCTAAAATAGTCAAAGTCAGGGTACCTGGCTGACTCAGTTAGTTGAGTGTGTGACTCTTGATCTTGGGGTTGTGGGTTCAAGCCCCACACTGAGTGTAGAGATTACTTAAAAATAAAATCTTAAAAAAATTAAACAGTCAAAATTAATTAAATCAGTCTTAAAAAAATTAATTAAACAGATCTCAGTCTAAACTAACTTCAGATACTCTTTCCAGTTCCTAAACTGAATGCAAGGACCCTGCCAATTTCTCTCAAATCCCTCCAAAATCTAAGAGTAAAACAGAAAAGTGAATAAATGGCCATCTTTTAAGATGCAGATACTGGGGCACCTAGGTGGCTCAGTCGGATAAGCATCTGATTCTTGGTTTCAGCTCAGGTCATGATCTCTGGGTCATGATCTCAGAGTCCTGAGACGGAGCCCCACATTGGGCTCCCTGCTCATCTGGCAGTCAGCTTCCTCTCTCCCTCTGCCCCTCCCTCCACTCACGCTCTCTCTAGCACGTGCTCATGCTCTCTCTCACTCTCTTTCTCTCAAATAAATAAATCTTTTAAAAAAAGATGCAGATACTTATTTTCATTCACACTTTGAAAATTTTGTTTCTTTAGAGTTAGACTGGACAAAGTCTCGTATTTTCACATTTTGGATATTTTTGTTTAAATAAAATACTAATATCTGCTCAGTAGGAAAAGAAATTATTATTTTCACAAGTAGATTTAAAACCAAGGCAAGTAAACTTATAAGGAAAATGGAAAGCTTGGACCAATTCCTATATATAAAGTAAAGACTATTTCATGTATAATCCTTACCTCGGGTGGTAGAAAGAAAATAAATGTGAAACTAGACAATACACCTGAGGACCACAGGCGTAGTTCCTTTCAAAAGCTTAATTAAGAGAATGTACCAGAACCATTTAACAAGATACCTGAATAAATGAAGCGCAGAATGTCCGGCAAACAAGAGCAGAAGAGGGCGTCTTTGACGACGACGCGTAAGGGCGGGTTGCCGGGAGAATCCTGGCGAGCACCGGGAAATGCAGTGTCTCTGCTAATAGTGAAGAGGTCTTGGGTAGTTCGAATGATACTGGAATCCTGAATGTCAGCGGGACTCTTCACATTGAAAAGTAGCATGAAAACGTGGCTTACGGCACACAGGACAATCTTGTGGGCCTCGGCAACTTCCTTCAAATCTGGGTTGTAAAATACCACATCCACACACTGGCAGCAGAACAACAAATTATTCAAATCAGAGTTATAATGCGATGCTTCAGCCTTTAAGACAGGCATTTTTTCTGTTTCAAAGAAGAAAATAAAAGTGACAAATTTTTCTTTAGGTCTATAGACCCAATCATTTCCGGTTTCTTTTAAACACAACAAAAGAATATTTTCTTAATGTTATTAAGTTGAGCCACATGAAATTGCCAACATTTGGCCATTTGTGACCCTACGAAAACAGCAATTTTGTGTAACTTAATCTAATTATAAACACACATAAATTAATTATCCTGAGATAACAGTCACAGAAATACATAGTATTTTTTAAGTGCAAATGAAAATTGTACTAATGCCATTAACAGCAATAAAATAGTACTTCTCACTATTTGTGTGTCCCCAAATAAAATATCTCTCCAAATACTACATTTCAGTATGTTGGTGGTTATCATTCCTTACTTTCACCTGATAAAAAATGCAAACAAATTACTGAACAAGTTCTGAAGAACCTAACCTCACATTTGAAGTCATTTTCCTCCTGGGTTTGGAAATGGAGGGGGGGGGGAAATTGTTAAAATTAAATTGTTAAAACTGTAACCCCTCAAAGCCAGGGCTCAGAGTCTTGGGACTCCATTGTTTGAAACCATCTTGATCATTTTATTTTGATCCTAAAATTAATATTTTTTTTCCTCCTAGTAAAACAAGAACCAGCCTTTCCTCCTCGGCGCACGTCAGGTAGAGTGTTGGTTAGAGTCCTTAATTTCCAAAAAAAAGGATGTAACCTTCAATTTCCTAGTTTGATCACTAACAAAGGTAAATTAGTCCTCAGTCGATTCAGAATATCCCCACAGAGGATCACACTCTAGGCCCTCATCATAGACCCTAGCTGTAAAATATCTGCTGGCTAGATTCATCCCAAGCTGAGCCAAGGAAAGTTATCTGTAAAGGGTTGCTTGAAAGATACACAATCCTCTAAATCAGTAGAATTCAAACTTCTTTAGGAATGAAATTTCTTTATTCTAAAGCAAAACTCCAGTCTCTAAAACCGATAAAAACAAGGAACTTTGGTGGCTAGGCTTTTCCTGAACTACACCCCACTCATCCTTCCCTCCACTGCCTAAGGCACCTCACAGACCCTGAATGGTTTACGGACAATGTGAAAGCCTCATGTCCCGGAGCCCAGGATCTATCCTTAGAACAAATGAGCACCAGAACCAATGTTCAGTGTGACACCTCACAGAGGGGCACAAAGTTCCACCTGTGAGAACGGAGACTGCATTTGCCGACCGGACCCTTTGGAAAGCCCTGTCCGCTAGGTCACCGAGCACCCCAGGCGGAGACCCACGTGAGAAATTTCTCCTTCTGCTAAATCCATGAACGGCTTTGCTTTCTCAGAGGAATTGTGGTGTTTTCTCTTCTTGAATTAATAAGAACCAAGAAATCATCTATCTCAACTGTTTATTTGGCTATTCCCCACCCATCTTCTCATCCAGAAAGCATTTAAAGCAGCAGGTTTGCTCCATAACAGACCACGTCACCCCTCTTACTTTGCACACCAGGAAGTTCAAAGCCAAACTGTGTATCACTTAGGATCTATCTGCATTTAAAAACAAAAACAAAAAAACCTGGAATTGACTTCCCATACTAATTTATGTTTTCCGGATTTTTAATGTATATTGATTTATTTAACAACTACTTATCAAGTACCTACATTTTAAAACAACTTCCATAACAAATTGGTCTGCATAGTGTACTACTACTCTACTTCTATGATATAATTATTCAAAATTTTTGATAAAAGTTAACTTTGATAAAAATTGTATTTATGTATCTTTAACTTTATTTTCCTCTAACCTTGTGTTATGAACATTTTCAAACATTTGAAAAAGTTGAAAGAATGATACAATAAGCACACACATATCCTTCACCTGCATTCTGCAATTAACATTTTGTCATGTTTGCCTTATCTCTAGCAAGATACACACTTACACACACACTCACACTGCTGAACCACTTAAAAGTAACTTGGAATCATCAAGATACTTCAGGTCTAAATAATGTCATATTCATTTCCAAAAAATAAGGACATTCTTCCATTAATCACAGAACCATTACCATACATACAAAAATTAACAATCCCTTCATGTCATCTAATTTCCAGTCCATATTAAAATTTTACCCAACTGCCCTAAGTCTTTGAGATGTTTTTATTGAACTGGTATCCAATCAAGGTTCATGTATTGCACTTGGTTGTATTTCTCTTAGACTTTAATCTAGGATAGCTCTTCACCACACACACTATTTTTTAAAGAAGCTACAGACTCAAGTTTAAGACAGTATTCCTCAAAATGGGTCCAAATACCACCTGCTTCAGAATCACCTGGAAACTTATTTTAAAAGCAGATGCCACACCCCACCCCAGATTTACTGAAAAAGAATGCCAGGTGAGTCCTCAACATACTCAAATTTGGGAACAATTGCTCCACGACTTGTGAAGTGATCTATAATAAATATCAATTGAATGTCTAAACATTGGTTAATAAATGCACCTGGTTGTTCAAGCTGAGGTGGTCTAATCCCATGAAATGAGTTGCTCATTTTCCTTTTCTTCATTTTTTCACTTGTCTTCTGATTTAAGGCTTGAATCATAAAATACTCCAACTAAAACATGAATCAAATTTTGATTAAAGCTTCAACAAAATTATGTATCTGACATGATTATTGGTACCCCAAATCACATTTGCCAAATGTTTTTAATGCCATTACCATCTCCATGTAAGCTTTAGCAAACACTTTAAACAATTTTTTATTTAAAAAAAATGTATCAAGGGCGCCTGGGTGGCTCAGTTGGTTAGGCGACTGCCTTCGGCTCAGGTCATGATCCTGGAGTCCCGGGATCGAGTCCCGGATTGGGCTCCCTGCTCGGCAGGGAGCCTGCTTCTGCCTCTGACCCTCCCCCCTCTCATGTGCTCTCTGTCTCAAATAAATAAATAAAATCTTTAAAAAAAAAAAAATGTATCAAAAAAAAATGTATCAAGTAGAACAGACTGTGCCTTGTCTAAGCATAAATAAACTACCCATTCAAGAAGGAACTGTTTATTCTCTTGAATAATAGCCCAGCAGGACGACTGTGTGACTGTCAATAACCATCTCGTGGGCAACCACAGCAGTTAATACTAGAGAAACTCAAGGCAGGACAGATCTGGCTCTATGTCACAGATGCTCATATCAACTAGGGATATTTACACGTGCTCTATTTTTTGCTTGAATAAATTACATTGAAATACATCCTTTATGTTATAAATTAAAAATCTTGGGGTGCCTGGCTGGCTCAGTCAGTAGAGCACAGCAGCTCTTGATCTTGGGGTTGTAAGTTTGAGCCCCATGTTAGGTGTAAAGATTACTTTAAAAGCTGAGGGGCACCTGGGTGGCTCAGTGGGTTAAGCATCTGCTTTTGACTCAGGTCATGATCTCAGGTTCCTGGGATAGAGTCCTGCATCGGGCTCCCTGCTCAGCGGGGGGAGCCTGCTTCTCCCTCTCCTTGCCCACCCCCCATGCTCTCTTTTGCTATCTCTCTCTCTCTCTCAAGTAAATAAATAAAATCTTTTAAAAAAATAAAAATAAAATAAAATAAAAAAAATCCTTGCACGGCACCAGACCTATGCCTTACACTGTGAGGCTTGGGGCAAAAGAACAAATAGACCTTGTACCACATACACAAATATTTAAAGATTTTTATTTATTTATTTGTCAGAGAGAGAGAGAGAGAGCACAAGCAGGGGGAGCAGCAGAGGGAGATGGAGAAGCAGACTCCCTGCTGAGCGGGGAGCCCGATGTGGGACTCGATCCCAGGACCCTGGGATCATGACCTGAGCCGAAGGCAGATGCTTAACGACTGAGCCACCCAGGCATCCCCCACATACACAAATATTTAAACTAAGTAAATCAAGAAAACAAACTATTATGTAAAAGATATTCTATCCTCTTGCTTTGACAGCCAGGTTTGGATTTAAATTCTCAGACTTCTCAGAGTTTCGTGTAGCACAGGGAGAACTGGCCCCTAACTCCTGGGCCCCAAAACTGCCCCTTCTCTTCTCATGCCCTGCTCCATCCCATGCCTCAAGGAACTTTATGCGTATAAGTAGACATCCATGCCTACGTATCCAAACTCTACTCTCCCCTCCCCCATTCCTCATATGTAGTCATCCTTTGGCCACCTTTCAGACCTAGGGACACACACACTAGTAATGCAATCCACCTTCAGGAGGACTGACGCAGGAAAAAGGCCTGCACAAGCCTGAGAAACAGACTGAGTGCCACTGGTCAGAGAATTCTGGGGTCCTGGGTTTTGGAACATGGTTGGAGCACTGTACAATAGAACCCTCTGTTCTGTGTTGATGGAAATGCTCTATAATATCTGTGCTATTGAATAGAGTAGCCACAGGTCACATGTAGCTATTAAGCATCTGAGATGTGGGTAGTGCATCTGAGGAACTGAATTTTCTTTAGTTAATTTAAACACAAATAGCCCCCTGTGGCTAGTGGCTACCATAATGGATGGTGCACGTCTAGAAGGGCTTCTAGCTCCAGGTGGGCACACCCCCTTGGCTCCATCAACTTGTGCCATGGGGGTGCAACTGGAGGAGGGCCAGATGGGGCTCTCTAAAGCTACAGGGCACACACCCCTCTTGCCCAGGTCTTCATCCCTGACCCTTAAACACAAGATTTTAAATGCTCCTTTCACTCTGACATTATCATCTCCATCTATATTCCTGCAAATGCCACTATTTCTTACACTCACAACCGAAGCTGTACTTTACTATTCAATAATCTCAAAAGGGATCATTCTGATCTTATTTCCATATTCTTACCAAGCCTTAAGGAAAAAAAAAAACTGCCCTTTCTTCCAACCTTGACCACATCTTCAATCCTTATCACGCGTCCAACCCTAACTGCAACACCAGGTGTTAGGAACAAAGAGAAACAAGGAGGAGGAAGCAGAAGCGAGCAGATAAAAGTGGGAGTTGGCAGGTCGGTCGGAAGAGTGACCCTGAGATTTCAGGTTCAGGAAGTGGAGCAGGGAACAAGGAGAGCTCCATACCCCAAGAGAATCAGTCCCCTCCTCTCCAACAAATGAAACCGAACTATCATTTTTCCCCAGTTTCCTAAATATTTCAGGGAAATGCAAGATTCTTAGACTAAATTAAGATTTTTTTTTAATTCACTACAATATAGTATCTTTGACAGGAAAATTAGATTTCAGTCCTCTCTACCTTCCTACCCTTTCTACTTTTTATTTATCACTGTAAAAAAAAAAAAGACAAAAGTTTCTCACAGTCATTAGGATATCAATCTTGTGAGTATATCTTTCTTAATGCTATATTTTTATTAATGTTTCTTCACATTAGTGGGCTAAATAATAGCCACTTATACATGATGGAAATCAGACCCATTTATATTTGGTGCTTATTTTATCTTTGGTTCTTATTTGGAATTTGGTAACTGTCCAGAACAAATGAAATTTTCTACAGTCATCTGTGGAGACCTCAACATTTTGACATGAATCTACATAATGAATATACTGGTATATTAGAAAGAGTACTTGACAAAGAGCCAAGGAACTAATGGAGAAGTTCAAAGTGCCCCTGCTTAATGCAGGGTTTACTTTTGTTTAAACCTCTTATCCATGTTTACCAAATTTGTCTGTTGAGTGGAGTCACTTCTTAGAGGGTTGAAACGATAGTTCCAAAGTCAGTTCATACTTACATGATACAACCCCATGGTGTTCTCCAAGCACCATGCAGTCTTAACAGTGTAGGGTAGGTGCTATGTGCCAAGATGGGTCTCAAAATGCCTATAGGGCCCAATAAATGCCATAGCTACAGAGCGAGCAAATCCCAAATGTATTTTTTTTAAGATTTATTTATTTGAGAGACAGAGAGAGCATGTGCATGCAAGCAGGGAAAGGGGCAGAGGGAGAAGGAGAGGACAGAAGCAGACTCCTCAGCGGGCGTGGACTCTGAGGGCTTGATCTCATGACCCTGAGATCATAACCCAAGCAGAAATCAATAGTCTGATACTTAACCGACTGCACCATCCAGGCGCCCCAACAAGCTATTTGTATAAGCAGTTTCTATGGATATTTTTGAGCTGAATCATTTAGGAGTATACAAAATCTTGCCGAAGCACACATAGGGAAAGAAAAATCTTTCTTTTCAAGTAGTAGATAGGAATGAAGGAGAACTTTCAGGGCCCAATCGTTCAGGATGCAAGGCTCATTGAACAATATAAAGATTACGAATAAAACTGACATCACAGGTTTGTGTAAGTAAATACGCTTTTGGAATGTACAATAAAAAACAACAGTGTCACCAAATGGAAAATTCCAAAATATCCCATTAGACAATAGAAAATGCTTCATTTGAAGAGAAAAATAAAATTATAATTTTACTCTGACAAAACCTGACTCTACTCTCAGTTTGTTTCTCAAAGTTAAAACCAATCATGCTTTTAAAACTAAAGTTCTAACTGAGGTTCTAGAAAATAGCTACAGAGCGAACCTGACAAATGACTTGACTTTATGTAACAGGGATTACCACTTACCACTCCTCCAAAATATTTTCCTATGTAGAAGTCATCAAGGCTGTGTAGTTCAAGATAGGTAGCTCCCAGTTCTTTAGCGAGTTGGATCCCTTCGGTTGTACTGACACAGCTCCCTCTGTCTGAGGTACACAGCGGGCATGTACAAGGTAATTCTTCTGAGAAAAGAAATATGAGTAACAAAGAGCCTTGAAATTAAACAGGAAAAGAAATTTACACAGGCAACCTGAACACTGAACAACAAATTAACAGCTTATACCAGAATCATAGTTCAGGGGCAGGTGGTACGTCCATGATCCACCAGGCTTTGAATAAAAAGCATCAGTGTTATAGAAAGGTCCCTAAAGTAAACAAGCTTTGTGTGCAATTAGAATAAACAGTATTTTAGAAAACAGAAAAACTTTAAAATAAGTGAATATATATCACCAAGGCTTTTATAGTAATTAAAGCAATCAGCTATAATGGAGGACATGTTTCCCTTTATATAACCCTGACATCCTGAGTATCAATACAAATTAACAACTTAATTGCCCATAGAAACCATGGAAAACAGTGGGTTGGGTTAGCTCTTTTTTCTTTCTTTTTTTTTTTTTTTTTGGTAATAAACTTGAAATATATTCACCGAGTTGACTAGATCTGAATCCTCAAGGCTGCAAAATTTTGTAGATTTCACATAAAGTACATTCTTATTAATCCAAACATTTCAATTATTAGACTCTAAAGTATTCAACTACAGAAACCAAATTCAATCACTTATCTTTCTCTTCAAGATTAAAAAATTTTTTATAAAGGAATAAAAAGTATTTTCAAAATGTGAACTATCATAAGTGTCATGGTTGTACCACGTACAGATGTATGGCTGGGTAGGTGGTAGATCCACATATCTATTAGGACACTCCTTAATAAAGCTAAAAATGTCATCAGCAAGGTTTGTTTTGTTTCATGACATTAGATATATCATTGTTTAAATGGCAGCCAAATCAAAGAGGGATAAATCCATTTCTAGAAATGCATGTTGTTATAGATTAGTTTCCCTGGGAAGCAGACTCTGAGATGGAGACTGGTGTGCAGGAGGTTTATTGGGGGAATGATCTTGGGAACAAATGTACTCAGGGGTGAGGGAAATGGGACTGGGCAGAGAAAAAATTCAAACTGCAATATAGCTAGAACAAAGATCTCAGCAGATCCTACTGGAGGGGGCTGGAGCTTAGATGGCCCTTTAGAATGGTTCCCAATTTGGGGGAAGGCAGCTGGGCCTTTGTGTCCCTAAATCAATCAAGATAATCAGTGACTAGATGAGGGCTGCCATGGAGGGGGCAGAACCTTGAGTAAGCAGCTTCTATCAGCACAAGGTAACACCCGGGAAGGGACTCAGCTGTGTGCCATCAGCAGCCAACAGTCTGGTAACTGAGGGAGTAAGTACAGTGGCCCCAAAGGGCATTTGGGGGGCACCTGCATGGCTCAGTCGGTTAAGCATCTGACTTGATTTCGGCTCAGGTCATGATCTCAGGGTCGTGAGATCAAGCCCCACGTGCGGCTCTGCACTCAGCATGCAGTCTGCTTGAGATTCTTGCCCCCTCCCTCTCCGTCCCTCTCTACTTCCCCCCCTGCTTGCTCTCTCTCTCTAAAATAAACAAATAAAAATCTTAAAAAAAAAAAAAAAGTTTAAAAAAAGGACATTTGGGCAACTTCCCACAGCCTACACAACAACGTCCTTACCAGTGAACTGCATATAGGTGAACCATATATATGTACACAAAGGATATCTAGTGTATGTGAGTGCTATGTATATAACTATGTAGATAATTTTAGCTTCATTGAAAGCATTTTAGAGCTCAGAAACCAGGAATTTACATCCTCCTTTTGCAGAGGAGGAAACTGGGGCTCAGGGAAGATAAGTGACTTGTCCAAGTCTCTTTGTGTGTCAGAGATGGAAAAACAATGATAACACTGTTACTTGCTCTATCTGATAAGTAAAGTGATATCAAAAGATAAGATAAAAATTTAGTTTGAGTAAAGACACAGTGATTTAAAAGTTAAGCATGGGTTCTCAAAATTAAGCCCTGAATTCTGAGTTTTTGCTTTACTTCTTCCAGGATCATCTTGGGTTTGGAGCACATAAAGTTTTTATACAGAATTTAGCCTATCTTGAAAAATAACACATTGGTATTTCACATTTTTTACAAAGATTCATAAACAGTGCCTTTGATTTTCTGAAGACAGAGGCCTTCTTATGTCTACAAAGCTCTCCTTATGTTGATGGAATGGGGTGAGTAGGCAGCCCATCTTATTAAACTGTATTTCTAAACAAAAATAAAGCAACGAGTTTCAAGTGAAAAATTAAGTGAACATAATGTAAAATAATTTTTAACAAATAATCTTGATTTAAAGGAAAATCCAGCTAATTTCAGGTTTAACCCAGCTGAGCAGGGTTTTCCGCTGTGTATAGCCATGGCCCTTTACTGACATACACGCCTAGAAAATTCCTCTTCACATCTAGTCTTCCTATCTCCTCTGTAGCACAGAAGACATTGGTTTTTGTTCACATGCACCCAAAAGGGAAAAAACGTCTCGCCATTATGTGGTGGGTATAGCACGAAAACCAACAAAACATTTATAGAATAAATAAACCTACATTATGCATTTCAGCAGGAACCATAAGAGGACCCAAAATAATTTTAAATTGCGGTGCCTTCTTCAGGAGATCACTCCTGTGAGCCTACCTCAGGGTCACAGGGACTCTGGACATCAGTGTTACACTTCTAGTTAACACTGTAGTCTTTGTTCCTTCTCTTATGTGACATCTTTTAAGGTGTTATCACAAATGTCTATTTTTTTTTTAAAGCAAACACATTGTAACTCTGGAATTCAAATGAATGGCATCTCTTTCAAAGCAGGGGTTTTCAGAATCTGTAGGGTGATTCTTACAATGTTGCCAAGTGCTTGAAAGTTTTAGAAATCTTTTTAAGAATTCTAGCCTAGCAATGTACTCGACTCTATCAGAACTTCAAAAACAAAAGAAGACACGACGCCCATTTTGGGGAGCTTAAGGCTATGAATACCCCTAGGCATGTTCAGGAAAAAAAAATTCTCTTTTAAAGACAGGTTCAATATTTAGTAAAAGCCAAAAATTTGTTCAAAGCCAAATGTGATGAAGAAGACATACAAGTCAAGCTTGTCAAAACATGTGTAACAAAGGAAAATGATGAGACTGTGTTTGCTGAACTAATTCTAAAAAGAGCTCAAGAGAGGAATTATCAGGAGAACACACAGCACAGCTTCATGTATTGCAAGGGACTGGGGGAGGGAAGCAATAAAAATCCTCGGGTTGAATATCAGATTTAGTTTGGTAATTACTTTGCAATCACATCTATATGTGAAATTAATTTCATCTTGTTTAAAACCATTCATCCACTAACTGAACAAATGTTTATTGAGTACCTACCATATATCAAACAAGAAATATACACAGATAAAAGCTCATAGTCAACTGAGCCAACATAGACGTGACTGCAAATTATAATATAATACATATAATAAATACTAAAATAAAGTATGCAAAATCACCATGGGAACAGAAGGGAAGAAACTGACTCTGCCTGGGGATTATGGAAGGCTTCACAGAAGAGGTAGTGATTTACTGGATAAGTATGAATTGGCCGTGTAGATATGACAGGAGTTGTGCAGAGGGGCACTCCCATTAGAGGGTATAGCATATGCAGAGATCTGGATGTAAGACAAAAACAACAACACATTAGCTTCCAGTTACAAAATGGCAAGCTAAGCCCAGAACTCCTCTCCCTGTCAAATAACAGAAACGATTAAACAAAGAGGGGAGAGAGAGGGAAGGAGAAAGGAGAGAGAAATGGAGGGAAGGAAGAAAGGGAGGCGTGGGAGAAGGAGGAAGGGAAGTGTGCATATATAGAAACACTCAAAAATTAAGAGGAGAGAAACTCATCAGCCCAGAAAGGAGGAGTGCCTAACGGCTGAAGGCAGGTAGCAAAGGACCAAAGAGGGAAGCTGAAGCTCAGAGGACAGGTGGGAAGTCACACACTGGGCAACATCAAGAATACTCACTGCTCAATCATGGAGGAGCAACAAGGAGGCCCATGGACAACTGAGTGGAGATCAGCTGGACACCCCACTGGTAGCAGCGAGGCCTGCAAATCTCATATGAGCTCTCACTCCCACCCCAAACTCAGAGAGCAGTTAGGCAGAGGAGGAGAAAGGCGTTAATCCAACAGAGAATCTAAACTGCAAAACTAGGCAAATTAAGAATTATCCAACATTTAAGAAGCCTCCATACTATGAAATAAAATCTCATCAAATGAAAAGATTTAGATTGTCCTCCTTAAAACAACTCAGTAGACCAATCAAAACAGAATCTTAACATAAGTATAATTAACTGAGAGAGGTTTTCTTCTTAAAGTATTTACATTCTTAAAACAGGTAGAAGAAATTATGAAAAACAACCAATTAGAGATCTTGGATATGAAAAGCTGTGAACATTTTTAAAAATGTAATAATGCAAAAGAGCAGGATAGACCCTGCAGAAGTAATTTGTGAGTTCGGGAAAAAGACCAAAGAATTCTCCTATAACACAACACAGAGAAATAAAGGTTAAGAAATATAAAAGCAAGGGCGCCTGGGTGGCTCAGTTGGTTAAGCGACTGCCTTCGGCTCAGGTCATGATCCTGAAGTCCCTGGATCGAGTCCCGCATCGGGCTCCCTGC